ACCTGAAATTAATTAGGATTAATTAATCAAAAGTTCCAATTGAACGAAGGGATTTATTTCTCCAAAAACCTTCCCAAGAAATTATAAGCAATATATGGCCCTGTAAAAGTATTACCGGTAAGTTATAAAAATTGTGCTGTTATGAAAAATTAACGTACTCCACACTGACTGACTGCTGTTATATTTCAATACCCGCACTTGTGTTATTCTTCAATAACCATGCCCCACATTTTGGACTATTTTCCTGTGGGCCTGTGACAACTTTTATAGTGTAATATGCTTCTGTTACGATGCATTATGCAATATCTACATTATTATACATCATACATGGGCCTCAAAATGTTACCCAGTTTCATTTTAGAAGAAAACCTTTTTAGTTTTTTATTGTTCCAGTTTGTCTTAGATACTTAGATACTGTTGCAGTGTCACGTTTGAAAAATAATAATGGCCACTAGTTTCAACCAAAGCTTCTTTTAAAACAAGGACAGCGTAAAATATAGATATAAAATATTTATATCTAGACATTTGAGGACCACAAAAGGAATTTATAGTCCTGACAATTTAAGGACACTCCCTCAGCTTGGGGTCCTATATATTCCACAACAGTTCACCAGAGCAGTGCTGAAATTTGCATAACCCTTTTTGATGATATGTGCTTGTATAAATGCCTACCTACTGTCAGATTTCTTAGACCACTTTACATGTAGAGGAGAAGGTCTAGATATTTAGTTATACCTGTTCTTATTTAGACTTTGACTTAAATCGAGATCTACATTGCCACTGCCCTGGTGAGTGCGACTGCATCAGCCGTTCCTGCATTAACAGTGACTCAAATCAAAAGGACAATTTATTTACGGTGAGTGCTAACCAAAGAAGCGATAAATAAGGCAGCATGAAATCAAAGGTATGGGATCAGGTGGAAATTGGTATTTTCTCACTACACAAACCACTGTTGACCTGGAAAACACTCACACACACACACCAAATACACACTCCGCAGCTCCCGGGAGCGGACGCTCTCTTTATATCCTCAAATGCATACATTAAGATGGAGATGTACAGGGGTTTTTAGTACAAAGAAATGAAAAAACAGCGTGTAGACACATTAACAGGAACACCTGTACAAAATAATGCAATCTATTGCAATCGCCCTGCAACAGGCACTACCTCTGTGAAGATTATTTTTTTTGAGACTGCATCAGAGAGACGTTAATTCATTTTGCAGTAGCTTGTTGTGTTGTGGTATTTGGATTGTGTTTTATCATATTCTGTGTTTTTCCAAATATCTTACTGGTGTTCGTGTTATTGTGTCCACCTCTTGTACGAGAAGAATACCTCTTGTGCTCCTCCATTTCTTTATCTCCTCTTGGAATGAGACCCACAGAACATAAAATACATTAATTGAATATATATATATATATATATATATATATATACAGAATTTCAAATATATCAAGCATCTGAAATCAGCAAATAGCACTTTCAGCTGGCCAAAACATTTCATATCAAAATATAGTAAATTTAGACAAGTATTCGGAATACATTTAATCACACATGAATTGATTTTTAATTACAGAATTTAACTTATGTGACATACTGTAGGTCTGACCCCAGTTTATTTTATATTTCCCGCCCAATATAAATATCTCTATATACTAAAGAAAACATGAGAAAGAAAAAACAAGGATTCATCCATGAAGAATCAAACGAGATCCAACATCTGTAAAATCACAAATGTTTCTTTTGCCAGATGGTGAGCTCTGGTCTGGGCGTGTCTCAAAAATATACAAGAGTATGAATAATGCATTGGATATGACTTATTTCACAGTGTATCTCTAGATGCGCACGCACACTCACACAAAGGCACACAAGCATACACACTCACACACACACAAATTCAGACAAGGACAGATGCAGACATGCACATACACACACACACACACACACACACACACATACAGACACACAAAGTATAGACCAATAAAATGAGCCAGGGGTCCACATCTGCTAAATGCTCCCGGTGGTGTGTACAAGATGTGTGAGGTTCATTGACAAAAACTACTCTTCTAGTCTATGTTGGCACCACATAAAAAACATAAGTTATAAGCTAAATTGTCCAAAATGTCCACATTTCACCATTGTGACCACTGAGGAAAGACAGTCAACTCATCTCTGTCGTCTCTTCTGTGACATTCCAATAGACTTTTTTTTTTCACAATGTCTGTCCCGTCTATGTATGCAGAGGTTTTTGGAGGCTAAGGCCTTGTAAAGTTTCACCCAGCCAAATGAGAGAAAGGTTTTAAAGTCTAGAATCCAATGGATGATGTGGCCTGGCTCAACCTCTGTAAAGTCACGACTCTTTAGCAGCTGTCATTAAAGAAAGTTGGCTGGAATAAAGCCCTGGACGGCTTCATAGCGGGGATAGTAAAGAAGATGAAGGGGCTGACTTTTGAAAGACCTTCTGACTAAAGTCTAAATCAAGCCACAAAGGTTCCAAAAAATCTTCAAGGAGCCGTCCCCTGCAGACCTGATGTCGGATAACAAAGACAAAAAAAAAAAGGTAATGTACTTCAATGAATATTCCACTGCCCTGTTAATAATTGTTCCTCACAGGGATTTTGTTCTGTGATGTGTCCATAAATTTGGCTGCGGTGAAATTTCAATGTCGATGGTGTACCATGCTGCTCACTTGAGACTTCTCAGAGTTCTCAGGAGTGTCTGCTGAGAGTCTTTCGCTGTGGTGTCTGGAGAAGCTCTGGGTTATTTTCTTTTTTTAAATTGAAGGTTGAGTCTGGTGTAAAGTTTGAGAGCCTTGTTGGTGAATGGAGACAATGTTCTGGTGTGGTGATAGGTCTCAGTTCCTTTTGTAGCGTGGATGTCAATGAACCTGCGGAGGAATGGAAGAAAAAGACAAGGAAAAGATAATAATCACGAGACATGGTTTCATGAGCCACGCACCCTGTTCTGTAAATGAGCTGATAATGTTACATGTTGGTCTCACATCGGAATAAGCGCCTGAGTCACGTTTATGTAAAAGTAATGATGGCAATCTTACTAGGTCAAATGTAGTTGACATTTCAGTAACATTTTGTGTAACACAACTCCGATACCATCACAGTAACATAAAGGTTACTGCAACACTAAACAAGGTCAAGGAGATTAAATGCCCATGTTCCAGCCTTCTTAAGAGAAATGTAATACATTTTTTTAATGACTAACTATTATTTCTAAAATCATGCAGCCAGTGCAATAAAGACTTTTTAATTTGTCTACCTTAATGAAGCAGCGTGCCATGACTTTTTTGGGAGACACGGATTGCCTACCTTTGCAACAGGAACACCTGTTTTGTGTCACATCACTGTCAGATCCAAGAAGCGCTTCCTCATTTGTTTTTTTAATCAAAAATAAAATCACTTTAATAAACCACAAATCACAGAATGAAACCATTTTAATCTGTTGAGGATATTATTTTTCGTTACCCTCACAGTGCAGGGCAAGGAAAAAAAGAAACCACAACCACAGTAATAATCAGACTAGCACCCCCTCCCTGTATTTTCAATTTTCATCTGTGCCAGCTTCAGCTGAATACTTTACATACAGCATGTGAGCTAATTAAGAATTAAGTGAAAGCCACAAATTAATGCTTGTCATTCTATGCTCGTGCACTGTTGAATATTATGATACCGGCACTACTACTTTCAGCACATTTCACCACTTTATGTAATAAATGGTGGACTGAGATGAGAAAGATTACAATGCGTCCCGAACACTTGCGATGGTCATTAATTAAGGCTTCAACTATAAAATAGATTTTAAAATCCATCAGTAATGAGGAGGAAAAACACTTCTCTATCTTGATGTTACTTTTTAACTCTGGCACAAGCACTGTTTGTTGCTACCTTTCATGCACGAGCTGCCACATATGGCACTAGCACTGTGGTTCTTTCCATCAGGGTCTGAATAATGCTGAACATTTACATAATGGACACGTCTGATTGACAAAAAGCCATTACTTAAACAGATTCATAAAACCAGCAATTTGACATATTCCATGCCCGAAAGGGGCTTTATCTGAGGCCAATGTAGCTGTAGCTCTTTTTTTCGCACAATTTCATGTATTTAACAAACAAAATCTTATGAATGATTATGTAAAGGGATGGGTCCATAAGTGTATGTACTATATTCCTTTTTATGTGGAATGCATTTCACCTCCAGTGAAATTCTGCAGTTAATGACATAATTTAGCCAATCATTTGATCAAGAAACCCATTTGAATGATAATACAACTCTGCCATGAATATGTTATATGGATAAATCCATAAATGTTAATACATAAATGATCCAGGGTGACAGTGGACAAATGTGACACCCAGGACTGCCCATATAAATCATTCAGACACTTAAATATGAGTTGGCAAATCCACACAGAATTGCACAAATTCCCAGGGCTGGCAAATAAATATTTATGACGCCCCCAATTCCCCTTTTCTCCCTGTCCTTGGTAATTGTGCGTGATTCATTTTGTTTTCTCGGTGGAAGAGGGAAAATCAATCTTAGAATATTGGCTAGGAGACATAAAGCATGCAGATTCCAAATGCCTGCGGTTTTGCAGAATATAAAAGCTTCATAGATACTCAGTCAATGTTCTTTGGAAGGGAATTCAGTTTAATCTTTAGTATATTTCCTTGTTTTTTAGAGAAAAGAAAAATGTTTGTGGAAGTGAAGTTAACCTACGAGCAGAGTCAGGCTAGCCTGCTCCTGGCTCTGGTTTATCCGCCGACTTTTAATAAAGGGATATCGACTTGAAGGATTGTAAGACAGGCATCTTAGGAATCTGTTACCATGACATTTAGACCGATTTTTAAAATGTAGCTTTTTTACAGCTATTCCCATTGCCTCCCATTCATATTTGTTTTCTACCTCTGTCCTTACAAAACAACCTGGACACTTGAAGTAGCCTCTCCCTTTGATGTAACAACAGGGGGGTTTTTTAGTTTCCAACCTTATGCATTTTAAAACTTCCAATTTTTTTTCTTGTATAGATACATCAAAGTGACTGCATCCTGAGGAATGGTACTATTCCATTGTGTCTTCTCCTAGTCCTGGATGATCTTTATTTAAACTTACTTTAAAGCAGAACTGGATAAAATACATGAATAGACACTGATATCTGATTCATTCCCGGTCTGGGCTACACTGAACCTTTATGCAGCTTAGAATTGATGCTAGGTTTCTGCTGTTCATCAAGTTCCCCTTAAAAAGTTATTATTTCCACTCTCTACAGGATGGGGCAATCAAAATGTCTTTGGTTGCTTGTACGCTGATGTGAGGTGCTGATGTGCAGGGTTATGCGCTCAGTATGCAAATTAGAAGGAAATACATCATATAAAACTCACATACTTGCTGTTTTCCTCTGCATCCTACGACGGCTCCTTGGGCAAAGGCTGGGGAAAAAAGGAAGTAGAAGGTCAGCGTCAGTGGAACAGAGGGCCAGCCTTCACTAACGTTTTATTCAACTTTCCCTGAGCATATTGGCCTTGGACGCAGAGCAGCATATGTCCATTTAAAAGCACAGATGGCGTGTCTACCAATTATATCTAAGGCAAGATGACGGGAGCTGAAGGTTATTTTGTTCCCTCCCAGTTTTTATGACCTCTGAGGACGCCGCTTCTCTCCTCGACCAGAAAATACGAGCAAGTAATGGGCACCTCATCATCTGCGTTAACGAGTGAGAGACCTTTCCTTTTCTCCATCAATGGCATCACACAGACAGAAAATTTTATCACATTAGCTGTGGGGCAGGGTGATAAAACGGTGTTCCACTTTGTTTCTCTGTGAGCAACAACTTTTTGCCTCCTACATTCATCTTTAGGAGAGGCACATGAAAACACGCTGTTTTCCCCTTGACCGGAGGAAGAAAACAGCTCCCTTGCCTTCTTAATATTGGTGAATGAGCCACTTTTGTGTAGATAATGACTCGGCTAATCATAATCAAGAAGCTAATGGTCTGTTTAGCCAATCAGAGGAGCCAAGGCGAGACGGCTGTCTGGGCAGCACATTGGCATTCCCAGCAGCCTCTGCTCTCCTCTCGGCTCTGCCAGGCTATCTGCAGCAGTGAGGCTGACTTGGTATTCCGCTGCCCGCCTAGGCCCTGTTGTCCTGCGCTCTGTCGTTCTGTCTGTCCGACCCGGCCGACTGGCCCTGGTGCTGTCGAAGAAATTTAGTCCTCTGAAGAGGTGCTGATCCATCACACCTCTTCAGCAGCATGTCATCTAAATGCTAAGTACTTCCACTGCATCTTTAAATCAAAACAAGAAAAGAAATAAGCACGGGGGGTGAGCGGTTGGAAGGGATAAAAGCTTATAAGGGCACAATAGAATCTGCCGAGCAAACCCTTAGCTTTTTGATTACATTCATTTTCGAGGGAGAGGAAATGTGGGAGAGGAGAAAGTGGGCAAGAGGAATGTGCATGAGGAACCCAGAGACCTTGTTATCCCTTCAAATGTACAAGGAAAAAAGAGAAAGAATAGTTATTGATACACCCGCCCCAAAGGTTCCTTCAAAGAAAATAGTATGTTGTTTGATTTCTTTCCAAAAAGCATCATGAATGTACCCTAGCTGCTCCCACAATGCAACCCCCCCCCCCCAACTCCCTGTCTCTGTCGGACTCCTTGCTTGAATGTCCCCTAGCTGCCCCCACAATGCACCCCCCCCCCCCTCAACTCCCTGTCTCTGTCGGACTCCTTGCTATTGATTGGAGGGATTCTTAAAGTCGGAGCAGAGTGCTGAGGTGGCAGAAGCGGCCGGCACTATTAACTGCTCTTACTAATTAAAAGGGTAACAAGGTGAGTTTGGCCCCACGGGACGAAGAGACGGAGCCGGCTGTTTGCCTGCCATGCACACCGGTAAACAGTGCTCACCGCCTATGGTGTTTACAAGACGGGAATTCAAGGACATCGAAGACATATTCATCTCCCGCTGGCACGAGAGATGAGGGAGATTCACAGATAAGGAGTGAGAAAGAGAGAGAGAGAGAAAGCATGGAGCACACTAATAAGCGCTTTGCTAATTGCTTATGTTGCATTAAAATTGAAACATTTGGACCTTGTCTCTGAGCTCGGGGTGCCCTCGTTTCATCGTCACTTGTAAACATTGAGCACTGTGCATAAATGATAAAGTTTCACAGTTCAAATGAGGTGCACATGCCTGAATTTTTGAGAGAGTGCCAGTGGAGATTGGCAAAAATATTAAGGGATTCAATTAACTTCCTTCCTTATCATCAACTCAACATATTTTAGGATCAAAGTATTTTTAAGATAGAGTACGCCTCACATTACACAAATAAAATCCTCAGCCAAGGTAGCTTTACAACTCCCAGAAATCTTTGTAGCTGAGAGGGAAAGCCACTGCAGGTACAACAGACAGCTTGTTTGCTCAGTGCTCAGGGGGAAACAAAGCAGAGACTGCATATTTGGTAGCACTTCAAGCCGCAAAATTCTCACCAGCAGCCCACCCAGCCATTACGGAGACAGGCGCTGTGCCATCACTGCAGTAACTAAAAATCTTTCCCCGGGGCCTATCCTAACAAGTGGACTCCTGCACAGGACTTACTTGGTTTCATCAACTGGAGACTCATAGAGGTCCCAGTCATTACCAGCCACTAGAACTGCTGTTGTTATTAAGCTAACAAGCACAGCTATAGTCTACTGAAGACCCTGAGTGGATGCTTTATGCCCAGAGAATGAGCCTGATGTACAAAAGCATCAGAGCATCAGACCAAGAGCTGTCTCAGAGGAACAAAACCGGCACTACTGTAGTTACAAAGCATGTGCTTGTATTTTCTGCTTTATTTTTGTGAAGGCAACTACAAAAAAAAACCCAACATCTACTATCCTAAATTTATGTCCTTTACTGAAGTAAAAGTAACACTATCATAATGTGACAATAGTCTCACGTCTCAAGGAAAAATCCTGCATGAAAACTTATTCCTTCCAAGTTTCAGCTCTTTAAAGCTTTGGTGTGTAACTTTTAGGATAATCTATTGGAAGAAATGGAATATAAAATTCATAACTGTGTTTTCATTAGTGTATAATCACCTGAATATAAGAACCATTATGTTTTTTTTTCCCTAAGAATGAGCTCTTTATATCTACAGACGTTGCAGGCTGCTTCCTATGGAGTTTGCCATATTGAGCTGCCATGTTTCTACAGTAGCTCAGAAGGGACCAATTTTTTTATTTAACTATAGATCATGTGCATTTAAAAAATTTTGCTGACCGTCTTTGGATGTTTTTGTTCCAGGTGACACTGGTTTATCTTCATTTCTGTGCGGTATGAAAATCAATACACAGGCTCTTGAAACTGGCTTCAGGTGTGTGATCATTGCATTGAACATCAAAGTCTGCATTCCTTTTTTTAAATACTACATTAATGCTGCATAGTAATTCAGTTTAAGCGCAGATTAATTTAAAAAGTCAGCAGTGCAAACAATAATGTAACTTTGACAAAAATGAATGCAGACTTGATGTTCATTGTGATGGATAACGCAATTCAAGCAAGTTTCAAGAGCCTGCGTATTGATTTTCATACTGAAAGAAATTAATGGAAAGCAAGGATGTCTGGAATGGAAGGAAAAACACATTCAAATTTGTAAAACACAGCAGCATGGTTTAGTGGTGATGTAAAGTGTATGTGACTTGTAGTAAATCAGGTAAAACATAAAAAACACTGCTAGTAAAAGTATTATCGCCAAAAGACTTATTATAATGAATGTTATATTATTATGTATATTAAAATTTTGAATTATTATCACTGATGTATTAACATTGCATTTTAATATTGTAGCTGGTCAAAGTGAAGTCTATTCTATAGGTATTTATACACTGCTGGGTGGTTTAATCTAAAACAATGCATATTTTATAATTTGACAATATATTTAGTTTATTACATCCAGGCCAGGCCACAAATAAATGTTGTGGAGAACACATGGTCATATGGAATTTAACGTAGTAAGGGATAGCATAAAGCATAAAACTAAACAAATTCACCAAAAGTATTTTAAATTATACTTTGCTTTCCACCACTGGAAACAGGTCTGGGGCCATGTTTCCAGGGTGACACAGGATCTAAAAGGGACAAAAATGTTAGACTGTGGCTGGCTGAATCATTGGTAGCAGCACTAAATAATTTATTAAAAAACACATAAACAAAAGATCCAAAGGGCACAACAAGCATCAGAGCTTTGAGATAGGATGCTGTTGAGCATGCCTGAATGTGTCCAGTCTGTAGACAGGCTTTCTGCATTACTTATTACGAAAACCCTGTGTTGAAACGTGGCCCATGGCTCTGACAATTTCACACCAGACGAAGCTCTGGAGACAAGCATTGTGCAGGGTAAAACACAAATGGCAGTTCAAAGCCTGGCAATGACAGAACTTCAAATAGGGGAGCGGGGTAAAATGTGGTGAACGTGACAGCAGAAGGGACCACATTCACTCCGGGTCTCCGACAGAGAAGAGAGGAGGGCAACATACGCCTGGCGAAGGCAAGCTGAAAAAAGAACTCTTTTAATAGATGATGGTAGCATCAGAGGAAATAAAAAATGAAACAATATGTTGCTTTTTTATGCCATGTGAATGAACACCAAAGGAAACATTAGATACTGTAAATGTAATCATTATGCAGTATGTCCTATAACACAACACCTGTGATAACACAAATAAAAAAAGGGGAATGGAAAGGTGGGCCTGGTTTAGCCGTTTCTCCCTTTTTCTGAACATCTCTATCAATCTAACCTATTTCAATATATTTTCTGCATCAGTCCACACGCTATCTCCTCAAGACTGATGAGCATGCCACAGCATCCGACAAACAGATGAGTTGAAACCAAGGGAGTGCATTTTTCTTTTCCGCTTGATAAATAGAAGATCTGTAAATGAGACTGAAATAAAGAGTATATTTGCTTATCCAGCGTAACCTCTGTGTACTCTGTGTATGTTTGTAAAGGGGCACGGCGTTGCCTGAATGTCAGTCATTTTATAAATGTACATCAAAATGCAAAGTGGCCTTTGCGCTAGTGTGTTATCCCTGTAGATCCAGAGAGATGCAATATGACAGGAGTACTGTCAGTCAGAGGTGAGCCAGTTAAACATAAAAGCTGGACTTTTTGTCTGATGTATGTATGTATGTATCAAAGAAAGGATGGTGGTGCATTCAAGCCAGATTAACAATGAATTAAAAATAATAGTCTAATTTAATTGCAGATTTGCATCTCTCCTGGCAGATACTGCTCCAGTAAAAGTAAAATTCCGCTGAAATAGATTCTATTAGCTGTGCACGATTGGTGGAATTTACTTGCTAGTGCACAGAATTGAATAATTTCAACTGCAAATGAGTCAGAAAGCCAGCAGAGCATTGAAGGACACGGTGCACAGCATGCATATCT